TCCCATTGGATCCTGGCGAGTACAGTATTAAAAATGTCCGTTCGGGCGGGGAAAGAAGGAGGCAGCGTGACTCGCACGGGCGAGCTCTTTCTCTCACAATCAAATTCTGGAAATGCTGGGACTGACTGATAGAAGGGGAAAAAAAAAACATGTTGGATCGGTGATATGAAGTGGAAAAGGAGATGGAGAGAAGACCGAGAATATTTTTTATCTTCATCACGGTCTTCAGCTCGATTTCATGAGCTGCATGCTGCGAAAGTGGACTGTTCTTATATATACTACCATCATTTCGAAACGAACATTGTTTAATCTCCCACTCCATATTCCTGTCTCCCAATTATGCAGGCTTAATTTTTTCATTTTCGATTTCCCATTAGGGCATTTTACCTCTGCAGATGCTCAAGGCTTAATAAACCCCGGCCTCCCTGATGACGTGGGAAGTATATGCGCTGAACTGACCCCTTGGGGCGGTGGCCACGATTGGCGGTGAGGACCTTGACACTTCCACCGTGAATAGTGCAGCACTGATTCAATGTTGAGTCAATGTGGGTGTATTACAGGTGATTGTCAACGCGGTTTCACTTCATTAGCACTATTTGATCTCATTCAAATGAGAAATTAGTTATTTTCTTCTCTTGGGATGTGAAATGTCTTTAAAATGGTGCATATTTGATCAAATTTGATAATCATTTCACAGCCATTGGTGAAAACAGTCAGGGAGAAATTGGAGCTAGATTTATTAAGTCTGATGGTGAAGTCACTTGAAGATAATAAGAATTTGGTGATGTAAATGAACGATATGACGAAATGAAATTCTGATGAAGAATCATCAGAATGACGTTCTTCGTGACGGTTTTATTTGATGATGAATTAAAATACTGTTCAAAACTGGGGATCATGGGCGGCTTAAATAAGTTGCAGGCCCTGTTATATGCATATGTAATATAACTGTACATAGAAAATGAAGAATTTATCTCTCATTAGAGGATTTGAGCTTTCACTACATTCACTTGGAACCGAACTTTTTTCCGATTCATGGAACGATCTGTACTCGCATGCACATTTGTAGATTCAGGAAGTCTGTAAAAGTGATAAGGCCAACATGCAGACACAGTTGGCATTAAAACTTGCTGAACAAGTTTCTAAATTTAACATTGATATTAATAATGCTGCATTGCAAGAATTCACTTATTAATCAAGGAAGACATACGAGGTATAGGGATGGAAACGAGGTCGACCAAAAGGCTATGCCAAGAGGCATGATTGGGAGTGGCGTAATCACTCAAATTTATCACTCAATTCACACAGGATGCGAATCTTTATGTAAATTTTGAGTTTTGATATTAGAGAATGCATGTCTGAAGTGCTGTATGTCTTGCAGGTCTCGGCCAATTGAAGATTTTGTTATGCGGCTCGTAAGGTCAGGAAGTTTGTCCATCCCTGATATATACAAACAAATTTTAAAAGTATATGCTTCATACATAAAAAATAGAGAAAAATAGATTTCAAATATGGCCTAAGATTCCGTGCAAAATCTACGTCCTGACTTGTTAGTAAATTCGGGTAAAAGTGCATGTGTGTGTATGAGGGAGGGGTTGTGATGTGTGTGTGCAACTGTGTTCGTATGGAGGCAGGGGCTACACCAGATAATGGAAAACCAATTCTTAAAAGTGGGAAAATTTGTTGGAAAACTGCAGAAAGCGCTAAAAAAGAGTGACCCTTCTTGATCTAAAATAATCACTCCCGCCCAGAATTTTGAGACACTGCCACCTTTGCAAGTCTTGTGGGTTCCCGCGGGGATGAAAAGGAGGCGGAGGGGATTACTATGTGTCCAGTTGGAACATGGAACCCACCCTCCCCAGGTGCAGCATGTCAAATCGACAGCTTCCCCATCGCTGATGACACCGAGGCCAGGTCCAAGTTGGGCGTGCCGTCCTTAATGTGCCGGTTGCTCTTCAATCCCATCAGCGCGCACACCTTGTTGCACTTGTGGGCCTCGAAGAACGTCACCATGCCGACCTTGCCCAGGTTGGTGCTGCCAAACCTCAGCTCCTGGCAGTGGATAGCCGGGTCGGTCAGGACGTAGCGCTCGTCGTGCAGGATCCCCTGCAGGTCCACCACCATCAGGTAGTGCTGGGTGTGGTCGTAAGTCCAGTGAGAGAAGGCGTTCAGGGTCGAGGTGAAGTCCACCCTGTTGACGAAGCCGAAGTTGCTATTGAACTTCTTGAACTCGTACTTAGGAAAGATGTCCTCGATTGTGTAGAACAGGGGGGAGCCGTCGTGAGCTTCTGGCTTAAAACCAGGAGCAAAACATTTGGTTTTCGCATTTTTTTTATATTGAAAAACTCAATCATTGAAGAAAAAATTGCATAAAATATAAAAATTCAAAATAAATGAAAATACATAATACATTTTTAAAGAAGGAAGTTAGTTTTTAAAATGTAAAACGATTTCCAAAAAATACATTATACCAAAATAAATATTGCCAGTAAAATATTTACTAAATTTTTCTGCACATTGAAAAATGCATGTTTCAATTCGTCTACATTTTGTGAAAGCTTTAACAAAAAATCAAACAAATTGCATTATTTACTCACAAAACTGCTTGGACACCGCATTATAAATCAAATTGAACTGAGAGTTTTTCAACCTGAACAAGTTTCACATCCAGGAAGTGTATCGACTTGGCCTCCCTTGGTTTGACTTTGTTGAACTCCTTGGCAAAGTAGTTCGCAATGGCCTGGGACTCCACAATGTTGAGGAAGTCATCCCTGCCGTCGCCCACCCCGTCCGAGTAAATATGCTTGAACGTCTTCAGGACGACGGATGCGTTCGACTCCGACTTGAAACTGCTGAAGAAGTGGCTGGCATTGCCTATCTCGATCCCGAAGTAGGAAATCCTCTGGTTCCCCTCGGCAAACGGGTGCTGAGACATTTTGATCGAAGCCGACCTGTACTTGTAATCCAGGCGGAGCTTCTTCCCGTCGGAGACTTCGCACTGGGCAATCTTGACCGGCTGCGTCTTGACTTTGTTCCAGTCCGGCTGCGACTTGACGATAAGGTACGACTTCAGCGACTTCTCGGATACCTCGGTTATGGCACTGTACCTGCTAAACTTTGGCTTTGGCAGGAGCGCTCCGGACATATCCTTCCAGTTGCAATCGATTGTGGCGCTGATTGACTGGATGGCCACGAAGGGAAAGTTCTTGACGTCAGCCAAGTCCGAGCAGCGGGAGAACCCACTTCCTCCCAGGTCATCGAAGACCCTGAGCATCTTGTCCGTGAAATTGTTGAAGCCTTTGATCTTCTGGATGAGGTCTTCGATCCTCAACCCGCGCCTGTCAGCATCGTTGAGAGAGTAATCATTGTCAGAAGCACTGTCAAGGTCATGGAACCTACCGCCGTGTGGAGGGGCATCTCCAATGTGTATCAGGCATTTGTTGCTCCGCGACCAGGACAGGTTGATGGCAGCCTCCAGTCCGCCAAAGACGTCTTCGCAGGTGTCCCCGCCGCCGTTGGCGGTGACCGCTTGCAGGAAGATCTTGAAAACGTTGACATCCTCCTCGAAGTCCAGGGTCTCGATCCTCCTCTCATCACAGTGGTCGCGGTAGCCGACGAAGGCCACCCTGACCTGGCAGTGGTACCTGCCCGTGATCTCGTCGACAATGTCCTTGATGTGTTCCTTGGTGGCGTTGATGTAGCTGGACATGCTCCCGGTGCAGTCCAGCATAAAGGCGACGTCGGCGTCGCCCCGCCGGGCGTTGGCCTCCTTCATTTTCTGCAGAAGGGCCTGCTGCTTCTGGTACTCGGCCCGAGTCTGGCTCGTGGTCAGCTTGTCCTTCTCTACCTCGATCTCTCTCATGACCTTCGCGAGCCCGTCCCTTGTCTTGGAGGAAGTGGCAGCAGCGCCCCCTGCCACCTTCATAAGTCGCAGCTCCTTCAGTTTCTCGTCCAGGAGATCCCTTGTCCGAGTTGAGGTGGCTGCGCCAGCGGACGACCTCTTCTCAAGCTCCAGCTGCCTTTAGACGTCAGCCAAACGTGCTCTTGTTGATGTGGTTGTCACGCTACTTGTCTTGGACTCCTTCAACATCCGGAGCTCCGCCGTTTTCTGATCCAGTAGGTCTTTTGTACGGGTCGGGCCTTTAGCGTCGGACTTTTTCTGTTCCGATCCCCTCTTCAGGTCCATTTCCGTCTGCTCCTCCTTTGTCCGGGTCCCGTTCAAGGAGAAAATTCTGGGTAGTTCCTCTCTCTTCTGCTTGGAAAAGTTAGTATGAGTGTAAAATTTTTCAGCACCCCCCATTTAAGGAAATATGTGGTCTCACAAATGCAATGAAGATGATCAACAATATAATCAACCTCTAAGCAAAGCCGGCCCAATGCACAATTTTTTTTGTTAGGGGAGGCATGGTGTTACACAGAATCCATGCTAAGGACATTCCCATAGGTGGGCATAGCTCAAAACCCAGGGTAGGCGGATAGGCCCAAAATTTCTAAATTGTTGAGTGGGAGGTCCACAATTTTTGACGTTTCTTTGCAAATTTCTCCATTTTCCAAGGTGTAAGGAAGGTGGAGGTTCATTAAATACGCTTTTTTATCATTTGCATTATAAGACGTTTAAAGCTTTTTTCGCCCAGGGGATTTCGCTCTTATGCCCTATTAGGGACTCCCCGAAAGCCTTTCTGGTAGCATCTCCCCCTCCCCACATTTAAGTGTACAAAGAAAACTGCCTCCCCCCCCCCCGGAAAATTGAGAAATTTAGTTAAAAAAAATGAAATTAAAGACGCATTTAGGGAACGTCTCCCCCTTGAAAATTTGGAAAACGTGTTAATAAAAATGCAATAAACACGTGAAACATGTTAAACCCATCCTGAATATTTCGGGAAAAGTTCTCTACCCCCACCCTGAATTTTGGGTATGGGCACCTATGGAGTAGTATCATGCAATAATTGTTTTAATTGCGTAGTTGTACCGGCGACCAAGAATGATTGTATTACAGGGAATATGAGAAATCAGGAAATAAGAGAAATTATTCAGTGTTCGCCCTCTCAGTGCACTGACCTGGTCCCACAGGGCTGGTGGCTCATATTTTTGGTTAGGTTGAGTTGTAATGGTAGTCTTAGCCTCAAAACCTAGGAGAACCAGGCGGCACGATTGCTCCCGCAGGGCTACCACGTCCGTTACGTTACGTAATAAGGGCAGCCCTACCCTTCAATCGAACAAAACCTAAGCGAGGTTTTACACTATCCCTGCGGGATCGGCTAACGTCCAGATATTTCATGATTACTTCTCTCTACTCCCTGATTTCTCCTATTCCCACTAACAATTACACTCCCTACACCAAATAAAAGAACTTCGCAAGTTGACGTGTTTCACACAAAGTAGCTGTTTCCGAGACCTAGTTACCCTATTTTTATTAGTTTTTTTTTTTTGCTACAAGCCACTGAAGTATGGTCATCCTCTTGGTTGAGCTATAGTCTCAAAACTCAGGAGTTGCAGCCAGTACAGACTGATAACCTACATCCTTGTCTTTTCACATACCTTATATTTAAGGTCGATGATCACCTCTAATTGGCACGTCCGTCCTCGTTGCCCATCTGCACAATATTGCGTGAACGCGGAATTTGAACAGGGATCATGAAATTCGGTGGTATCAGCGAATTTTCCTGCATGCGAAACAGAGTTCTCCTTGTTATCCTGACGGATTTCTTTTTCAGCTTTGAAGAACGTGATTTTTTGTTTTCCACAGGCGTAAAAAGTAAGATTGCAAAAAATATTCGAAATAGCTGTTGTTGTATTACACATGCCTGGTTCTATTTCAGCCAACATATTGCCGCAATACCCGGCCTTTGAAGACTGACGATGAACTTTCGAAATGAATAATTCCAGAAAGCAGAGAGACAGACGCATAGACTGACAGACATTTTGATTTCCAATTATCAAGATCTATCTGAACAGTCCAAATATTTTCGAACGCTTCTTGGCTTGTTTTAAACCGACTCGCTGGTAGTGCCTGCGCAATATAGCGATCGAGTTAAAATTCCTGTAAAATACTAATATCCAGTTTCTCTTGTCAAAATAAGTTTCATAATATAGGCTTTGAACAGAGCTTTGTCACACAGTTGGAATCGTTAAGCACACACCTAAACACTTGCTTCTTTACATCGTTAAAAGAAATTGCTGAAAAACGTTTGCAGTTTCCTGTTTCTGCTGAATACACCCGTATAAGTTTATTGCAAAAAGTAGAAAACTTAGAAATTGTTTATACTTGCCAACTAACGATTGTTTTTAAAATTCGTTCAGTTCAAGATTCCAAAGTCGTAAATCCCGGATTGTCTTGGTAGTCACCTTAATAGCTAGGCAAAATGATTGGAATTAATATCACCACCTCTTAATGTGACTGCAGCAACCTGCGCCACTCACAGAAAAAATAGAATTTCGATTAAGGTTTTTTTCAAGCTCTACATTTGTCCATTCATTGTAACAGCACTTAGACATAAGTCTGGCATCGAAAACAGGGCTTCCGTCTAATGCGCGGAAAAGGGGATTTCGATTCATAATGGAATCCATGTCTCCTATATATTAACGGAAACTTACTATTCCAAAAATATTCCTAGGAATGGATCCCACAGTCTAAAGCGAGTAATGGAGCTTTCCTTTCATTTTCTGAAAAATTCCAATCCATAGTCAAAATCGGGTTTCCGTTCATAGATGAAATTTTCCGTCTCATTTGGGTTTTCATTAATCGTGTTCATTATTGAAAAACGGCTCCTTCTTCATTCGAAATACTGCATGATATCTGAGACTCCATTACCATTACGCGACTTCCCCAAATTAATCCGCGAGGATTGGGTGCATCCCTACCACGAGAAACTGTTCTATTCACAATCACGATTATACAGTGCCCATCAATAATCCCTTTAGGAAAAGATCGCGACTTATTTTTGCTTCTCTCTCTACTTTAAGAGAGACTGATGAGAACCACCGAGGCCTGCATATTTTATATTGGCAAGTTTGCTTGCCCTTCGGCCAAACAAATTCGCAATGGTAGCGCCTTCTGCGCTCCATTGTCCATTATAGTGATTTATTCATTAATTTAGTTCAAGGTGCCAATAAGGGCATGAAAGGTATATGCCTCCCGAAATGTGCATCGAGAGAGACCAAACATATATTTTTTAAATATCGAAATGATTATTCCGATTGTTTCTCGTGTGCCTAACTTCCAATCTCATCATAATCTGCCATGAGTGGTCATATTTGAAATGTAGGATCTGCTCTCAGCAATCAAACAGGAAATGCTGAGAGAATTTTCAAATTTCTTTAATTCCCTCTTTTAATGGATCAGAAAGGATTCTGGATTATGCGCTTTTGCAAAAAATGTGCCCTCAGGGGTTTTAACTTATTCATTATTACTTTTTCAAAAACCCAAATCAATACTTAGAGAACCAGATACATGCCTAGTTTCAGCCTTATCCGTTTGCTCTTTTTCCTGGTGCATGAAAAAAAAATAATTTGAAAAGCCTGATGCATGGAAAATCTTTGTCCTGATGGTATGTACCTCAAAACTCGAAAATGTTCTCATCTCACGATCACCTCAGTTATTGGTGAGCAAAGTTTCACCTTTCCATTCCCTGCTCAATTTGGGAAGACAAAAAAATATGTGAAAACGACAACTCCCAGAAATATGCCTTCGGGGAACGCCTCTGAAACTTTATATTTTTCCTATACTGAGTGTCTCAGTAGGCATGTCGATGCCATTTCAATATAAAAATTTATATTTGAAAACATATATCCCAAAATGAGTGCCTCAGGGAATGTACCTCCAAAGTCGGGTTTTTTTCTGAACTCTCCATGCCAAAGGTACAAATGTACCAAGTTTTAAATTTCAAACTTCTCTAGAACATGGTTAGAATTAGCGCCACTCAGTCACGATCGTATATATACAGAGTGGGCCAAAGAAAACGCCCCAAATTTGAGGCTTCATAACTTGGGCCCCGTTGGGCCAATATAAATTTTTTTAAAGCAAAATGAAGTTTGTTTCGTTTTCCTTCGAATGATGCATAATTTTTTCGGGTTTACGGGAGAGGAATGGCCGCTATTACAGTTTATATAAAAGTGCTGAAACAATTTCCTGGTTCTCGGAATGCATGCTTCCCTATAGGAATCCTACATGTTCTACTGTATAGGTAACCCAAAACATTCGCAAATAATCCTATAGGAGTTATATAGTGTCCGTATAGGTCCTAGAGGAAACCCTATAAGTCCTATACGGACCCTACAGAATTCCTATATGTTCCTATAATTTCCTTTAGAATTCCTATAGGACATTTTCGTAAGGGTACTTTCGTGCGAAAAACTTCTGCAGATATCGAAGTGACCACCACTTTCGAGTCTCATGAAGAAGCTATTTCCCGTCAAGCTTCAAAGCCAAAGTTTACCTTCGTAATGTAGCACATAATCACGTAATAAAATTATGTCATTGTCATATTGAAGGAAAGTAGTAAATTTGAAGCAACATTACGGGGGCTGTCCGAAAAGTTCTCTGTATTGATTTTTTAAATGAGTTCCACTAAATGAATCATTATTAAAATTCGGTGAGCTCCGGTTATGTCTAATAGTATTCACCGTGCGAAGTTTGGTATAAATTTATCCAGATTTACACTCGCTGCCGGATATTGCATACAGTCTCTATGAACGCCTCCATCGTCTAATAATTTTAGAAACATCGCATTCGAGTCATCATCGAGTTCCATGGTCTGCTCAACAACACACCGACAGAGATCCCTCAACTGATGTCAATGGCTTTTGGCCAGCATTGACCAGCTTACGATACGATCCGGAAGTGGTCAAAGCTCTTCCTCGAAGAAGGAGGGATCTTGATGATGAGCCACGAAGTGGGTCAGAGGAAGACCGGAGGAAGAAGATCCACTTTGCTACGACCTCCTTCTTCCCAACACTTCAGTAACGATGCGATGAACGGTATTGGTTGAAATCTTGTTCCTTCGCGGTCAGGGAACCTCCGATCCTGGGTTCGGTGGTGTAGTGGTAGCACATCTGACCGGCTATGAGGAAGTCCGGGTTCAATTCCCAGCCATTCCATTGCTCTCCTTTGTCTTTATTTTGTCTTTCATGTCCCGTTACTCAATCCCCCTCCATAACATTATTTTTGCTTGCGTAAAACGGAGAGACATGGAAAGCTGAAGCCAGGTATGGACGTGCCTCACGAGACAATCAGTTCAGAAAAAATGCAACATTTTAGATCCATGCCCTGGCGGGTCGACGTTTTCAAGTATCTTTTTTGTTCCTGGCGTATTGAGCTGGTGTGGAAAGATGAAACTTGGCACATAACTACCTATTACTAATAGGATGCTGCAGAAAAATTCAGACTTTGGAAGTAAATGGCTTGGGGCACAAATTTCAAAGGAAAATGTTTTTAAATAATGTTTTTTTTTGTATCAGTTAAACTGATGAACATAGAAACCTGAAACTTTGCATGAATGTGACTACTGAGACAAGAAGTTAAAGGAAAATGTTAAGTCTCGATAAATCCCCTGGAGGAATTTGGAGGAGGAGCGATGTTTTCAAAAAATAAAATTGACGTGGCGAATTGGACGGAAATGGAATGGTAAAACTTGGCACACGTATAAGTGACATGATATTGAGATGAGGGAGTATTCAGCTTTCATGGTGCATCCCCTACGGGCATAGCTTTTGGATGGGTCGGCTCTTCCAAACATGTTTTTTCACCAGCGAAAAGGGCAAACGTATAAGGTTGAAACATTGTGGGCATGTAGTTAAAGTTTTGGTTAAAACGCATCCCATTCGGCACAGCAATGTTGTATCAACGTTGAAACTAGGTTGAAACGGTGAGAGATGGTTGAGGTTGATATATCAACAAGAAATCAACGTCTGCTCTGCATAAGTAATAATATTATTTTCACGTTTGAAGATGTATCATCAGCATTGACTTAACTTTAGTTCATTTAATTTTTAAGTTTTCACTAAGATATCAAGTGAACTACTAATACGTCTCAATGTAATTCATTTTCGAGGGAGATCCCATTCAGGAATAAGCAACCCTGATCAAATTGAAATCTTCTTTCAGCACTTATCTCTGTGAGCTAAGAGTGGCGCGTGG